CTGAATCCTCATTGCTCACCCACCATCCCTACTCCGCGCACCATGTCTGCTCCCGATTCCAAACCATCCCCCGCTCCACCCGCTCTACCCGCTCCACCCGCTCCACCCGCTCCTCCATCTCCCTTCTCCCCGCTCTCCGCCTCCCCGCATCTCTTCTCCTGGCTTCTTTCCCGCGCTCCCCCCGCCGAGCCTTTGCCGCCCTCCTACTTTTCCCTCGCCCTTTCGCTCCGCCTGTCGATCACCTCCTCCAACTCACACTCCCTGCTCCTCACTCCCTCGCACCTCTCCTTCTCCAACGTCCTTCACGGCCTCGTCCACTGCTTCCCCCTCACCGCCGCCGCCTCGCCTGGCCGCTTCATCTTCGACCCCCCGACCAACCAACTCTTCTTATACTGCAACCCTCCCAGGCACACAAAACAACCCCTCCTTCTTTCCGCATCCGCTGCACCGGGTGGCACCCTGCGCCTGCACTCCGCCACCGTCTCCAACCACTCCCAAACCCCAGATAAGGCCATTCAAGTCGCACGCAAAGCTACAGCCTTCCGTCTTTCCGCCTTCCCCGTCCGTCGTCATCGCCGCGCCACCCCGTCCGACCCCAATTCCCTCCCCGCGTCGACCTTGAAAGCCCTACAAAAACTCTCACACGAGCACCAGGAGCCAGCCCTCTCTGAAGTCAGTGATGACGATGCTTCCTCTTCACATCCACCCAACCCTAAAACTCACCCCTCTTCACCAACAACTCATAATGATGACACCCGTCATGATGCGAAATTGGCCGCATCTCTTGAGGCTATGGAAAGCATGCTTACTGGTCGCTTCATACTTCTCGAGGCTCCGAATAAGCAAAAGAAGACCTTCTTCAGGAGGGTCAAGAAACAGCAAACCAGTCTCATGATCCTCGCCGAGGAGGAAGTCGTCGAACGCCAAATGCAAAGCAGTGCTGCTGACCAGTATTACACAGCTATCAAGCCCGCAAAGGAAGCACCCCCAGCGAGAGACATGAGCACCTCGTCCACATCGTCTTTGCGGGAGGAGGACCCTGTTCTGGCCCCGCAAATGAATGCCACGTGTGTCACTTGAAAATCACTCTCTCCGACATTTTTTTAACCGGTTTTCACTCTTGTACAGTATAGGAAGAGGAGACCTTTTCCGTCTTCGCACCTGCTGCATTGCCTTCAATAAATGTGTATATGTCCATGTGGACGAATCTCTTGTGCCGCGCATGCTCCCAGACTGCAATTCACCGTTGATGTGCAATCCCGCCAATTATATGCGCCCAGTACTTAAGCGAGAGCAAGCGCAAATCAGGGCAATCACCTACAATAGTCTTGTTAGTTTCCAACGTCATACCTCACCTGCAGCGAGCCAGGTGAAGAAGAGGGAGGCCTTGCCCTCTAAACAATCAAATCACACGAGGAGACCAAATTCTTAAAAACTTGAGACTTAATCCCAGCAGACCAATAAAGCCATACTCTCTCTGTGTTTTTTTTTTTGTTTTGTTCCCTCACCTGTCGCCTCCCTCGCTTATCTCTTCCCTCGTCTATCATCTGGAAATGACTGCACCAGGGCCGGGTCCTTGGGAGCCGGCATTTCTGCAAAGTACGGATGCTTGAGCGCGTCCTCGGCGCTGATCCTCTTTTTCGGGTCATACAGCAGCAGCTGCTCGATCAAGTCCAGTGCCTGGTCGCTAGCCCTGCCACTCCCTGCGCCGTCCTTGATACGTAGTCTAAGCGAGCTAAAGGTCTGATTACGAAACTTGAGGCGCCTGGCATTCGGCAAGTCGTCATAGCCCTTCCAGTTGTGCTCACCAGGCGCCCCGAGAATGTCTACGATCTTCGCCAGCTGATCCAGCTCCCCCTTCCCTTGAAACAAGCTGCGTCCGAGCAGCAGGTCGGCAAATATGCAACCGACGCTCCACATGTCCACGGCGATGGAATACCTCGGCGCCGCCATGAGCAGCTCCGGGGCGCGATACCACAACGTGACCACGCAAGGGGTATACTTGCCCAACGGGTCGGCGTACTGTCTCGCGAGCCCAAAATCGCATATCTTGAGCACGCCGTCGCCCGTAAGCAACAGGTTGGACGGTTTGAGATCGCGATGCACGACCCAGTTATCATGCAAGTACGCGACGCCCTTGAGGAGCTGCAGCATCAACGTCTTGACTTCCGCGGCGTCGTACGGCGTGGTCAAACGGGTGAGGATGGAGAGCAAGTCGGCGTTGGCGTACTCCATCACGATGTAGATGTTCTGCGTCGAGATGCCGACGACGACCTCGCGCACGGCGACCACGTTCGGGTGAGACAGCGACAGCAGCGCCGAGATCTCGCGCAGCGACGTCACAGGGAACCCTTCCTTGCTCGGCGTGTTGAGCTTCACTTGCTTCAGCGCGTAGATGCGCCCCGTCACACGGTCGCGCGCCCGGAAAACAAGCCCGTACGCGCCCTCGTCGATGAAGTTCAGGCGCTCGTAGTTGTCCACGGAGCGGCAGCCCATCTCGCGCGTGATGGGGCCGCGCATTGCACCGGGCAGAGGTGGTGGGGAATGGAGTGGAGAGCGAGAGAGAGAGAGAGAGAGGGAATACGTTGGGAGGTTAGGGGGTGATCCAGGTTTGACTGGCCCTCATCATACGGATACATACTCTTGCTCTTCCTTGGAGCTGTAAGTCATTATTAATGTAATGTTACATTACAGTGTAACCCGCCGGGTCTAATTTGGCGCCAAACCCTCCTCCCCGGAAGCACACATTCATCCAAAGACCATACTCGCCTTCCTCGCTCTCCTTTCGCTCTGCGTCTTTACCGTCTTTACCCACCGCTCGGCAATCTCCACCCGCAACCTTCCCTCCCGCCTCAGCCCTCCACATCATGTCGTTCCCTTCCACTACCCTCACCCCCCTGAGCTTTGGCACCCCACCCCGCCAACCCCCATCCCACCACGCCCAGTCTAACCTCCCGTCCATCCGCGGCCGTCTCTCCTCCTCCCTACGCCCCTCACGTCTGTCCACCCTTCTCGACGACCTCCCGCCGGACTCCCCCTCCCCGCACGCCTCCGACTCTGAAGCTCCCGCTGCCGCGCATGACAACCTTCACTACGACGCGCGCCGCCGCGTCAAGCGCCCGCGCTCCCGCATCGCCCGCCCGAAAGATGCCATGCCCGGCTTCAAGCGCCGCAAGCACTACAAAACGGGCCGCTCCAGCCGCTTCCCAGGCCGGGGCGGCATGGCGAGCTCCAACGTCGGCGCCCGCCACCTCGACCGGAGGATGGGCCCGGGGAGCTACTACGGCGGAGACAACCCAGAGGCGGACCGCCCCGACGCGGAGGAGACGGAGGAACACCTCGCCCCCGTGTGTTACGAGCACGCCATGCCGTGCATGAGACTCGTGTGCAAAAAAGCCGGCCGGAACAAGGGCCGCGCCTTTTACAAGTGCAGCAAGAAGGCGCGGCACCAGCAGTGCGATTACTTCAAATGGGCCGACCAGGTCGCGCACGGCTCGACGAGCGACGACGCCGCCACGGATGACGACCGGTCCACCACCCCCCGATGCGTCGAGGCCCCCGCCTTGGTGGAGGGCGGCGACGCGCTCGACCTGATGGACGCCGCCATGCGCGACGTCTTCGGGCTGCCCGACTTCCGCCCGGGGCAGCGCGAGGCCCTCGCGCGCCTGCTGCGGCGCGAGTCCACACTGGCGCTGCTGCCGACCGGCGCC